TATTTCCAGAAGAGCTGGGCCAACACAACCCAGTACTGCCCCCTCCCACTTTAAGGGCAGGCTGGTGGGGAGGGTCGACACAGAAGGAATAGGCCTATAGGGACAAAGTAGTGGTTCTGGAGTTATGACGCGCTTTACCTCAATATATTTTTTCTTTCTTTATTTTAACCTTTAGAAGATTGAGGTGGAATGTACAGTAAAGTTACAGAAATAGGGTTTACAGAAATAAAATAAGCTTAAGTGTATATATAACTCAATGATTTTTTAACTTATGTATTCACTACTTATTATACATAATACTTATGTACATATGTATATAATACAGTACTTTTATATTCACAAGTACCTCTGTTTACTTATGTATATCACAGCTGTCATTGGCAATTCAAGCAGCAAACTTCCGTTAAGTTAAGGGGCTTCTGTGTGCCTAGAACCACGCCACTCTTCTGTAAAAGAAAAGGACAAACATACCGACAGTGGTGAGAGGAAATTCATGTGACTGAGAGGCTGACTTCTAATTCAGCGTTTCTCAAGCCCATTGTCACCCTCCCCCAGGAAGCCTTTTTAGACTTTTTTGATAGTGCTCCAATAAATTTTATTATAGATTTAAAAAAAAAAAAAAGGACAGAACATGTTTGCCAGTGGCTGTGATGAGGTCAGTATTATTATAAATCATAGTCATTCCTTGACAGGATGATACGATTAGTGCCTTAGATGGCAACAGCCGGCTGTGTGATCACTTGAAGTGGCTGAATTTTGGGAATCCAGAGTGAAACAAATTGTCATGTCTGAAGATACTAACTCACAGAACCTCAGGAAGATATTATTGGATCCAGGGTATATGGTCAGGGCAGCCACACTCCTAGCACGGAGGCAGGCACCGAGTGGCTAAGAAGAGCATTTTTGGGAATTGATCCTACTCTCTGGCCTGGTGCTTCTGGAAGCCAGGCGAAGGGTGACGTCTTTGACCACAGGCGGGATTAAAATGAGCTGGAGCCTGTTGCATGTGTGTGAATCTGCTAGGCCTTCGGAGGCGCTGGTGTTCCATTCCCCCTTTCTTGTCCATCCCCCGCAACTTTGTGGTCAGCCCTGGCCTTGCCTTACGCAGACCCCATGACCCCATCTTGCCCCAAATCAGGGAAGTGCCACTAGCGGGAAATCAAGTGAGTGAGCAGGATGTGACCCATGGTGAGGCAGCTCCCACACCTGGCCCGGTCCGAGTCAATGAGCTACTTTAGACACTCAAAGGAAGTCCTTCCGCCAATTCACTACGTGTGGACACCTCTTCTGTTCCCTCTACTGCCCCTCCCTCCCCAGGTGTGGGTCTTTGTGGGCAGGAAGCTAATCTCCTCCTCTAAGCCACAGAAGGGCCCTCGGAGGAATAAGGGACCCTGGGGGTACTTGGCCTCAGCCTGGAGGCGGAGGAAGCTTCCCCCCACCCCCAATGTGGTGATAGCGTTGGACTGGGGTGCCTGGTCCTGTTGTGGAACCCTGGGTCCAGGACTAGCGAGGGACAGGGGAGGACAGAGGGGGTTGGGCCTGACTGGGGAAGGCTGGCCTGGAAGGCACTCAGCCATCGGCCCTGGGCCAGGGTGGAAAGTATGTGTGTGAGCTCATTTGGAAGGTGGCTTTTGGCCAGTCAGGCCCGCCTCCCTTTCAGGCCCCCGCTGCCCCGCCTCCTTCCAGCCTGCTGTTAGGTCTCCCTGTCCCCTCCCCATCTTTGGGTCTCCGCTGTCTCCCAAGACTGTCTGAAGGAGGAAGGCAACCCCCCACCCAGGCTAGGTGTGCAGGAACTGATCTTTTAAAGGAGGTGAATTCAGGTTTAAGGGGAGGGGGCAGTTGGAAGGGGGAATGGAAGGGGGAATGTTCCAATGCAGAGCAATGGAACATCCTTGACTGGGGTTTCCTTGGGGTTTTAGCAGTAGGACCTGCCCTTGAAGCTCCTCACCCTCCACAAACTTTTGCCACAGCCGTTCACCATGATCTTCTCTCCCTTTCCTGCGGCCACTGTCCTACACAGTGCCCTGGCTTCTGAGAAAGAAGTCCTGCTCCTCCTTTCTTCCCCAGCAATGCCTGCCTGTTTCTGCCCCCAAGAAGGGAGGTGACTGCTGGCAAGGTGGATTCCCGAGAGAGAGCCCTTCTCCCCCAGCACCCCCAATCCTCGAGGTTGGATGCACTGCAGGGCAGAGTAGGCAAGCACACGTGTATGCTGACAGATCCCCTGCCACGCAGACATCCAGCTAAATGTGTCCACACAGGAAGGGATACTCCAGGAACTTGGTCAGAATCTGCTTGTACAGAAAAAAAAATCAGAAGACCTGGGTTTTAATTTTGGACTAACAATTTGTGGCTTTCAACAAGTCTTATCTGGGCCTCAGTTATGGCATCTGTCAAATGGAAGCAATGTGCCCCTGGATGTCGTGAGGATCTTGGCAAATGTTGGTTTCCTACCATCTCCCCTTGGCTGGAAAGGGAGATAGGGATACAGAGGAGGGAGGACTGGGAAGTCCATCAGACTGTGGGGAGAAGGGGCCCTTGGGGAGGGACCGTGAAAGGTCAGCAGAGCTGGCCAGGCTGTATGTGGGGCGGGGGGGGGGTCACTCTGCTCAGTCCTCTCCTCTAAAGCTCCACTTAGATCTTCCCTTCCCATCCTGCTGACCCTCTGCCTGGCTGGCAGACTTGGAGACATGGGCCCAGCTGGTGGCAAGATCCTTGGAGAAGGGAGGTGATGACAAGGGAGTCCATGCCCCCCCCCCCAAATGAAGGGGGTGCTGTGGAGGGCAGAGCACTGCCCCCAGTTTAGTCTCCTTGGAGCCGGCTTCCCTGGGTTCTGCCCAAACCTCCTCACAGATTCCCCTTGGCTCCCTCCTGGCTGCTCTAACACATGTGCTGCTTTCGAATAAAGGAACTTGGAACCATAGACATTGGGTCAGGCCCAATGGACAAAGGGGGTAGGGCCAGTGAAAGCGCATTTGCAGGTCTCTTAGGAGCCACAGGGCCCTCTGCTGTCCTCTCACCCCAGCCTGACCAGGTCAGGTGGTTCACTCAACTAGGGTCTGGAGGTCACCAAGTCACTTCCTGGGGTAGCCAGGCAGCCTCACTGGGCTGGATCCCGCAGGCCCAGGGCAGCACGGGACCAGCAGCCTCCACCCCGCGATTCTCCCTGCTCTTCCACCCCTTCCCCCTTTGACTCTGGTCCTCCGTTCCCATCTCTCCCCCTTGGCTTCAGAGAGCATCTTGTGATTCCAGAATCAGGGCCAAACAATTTCCTCGTGACGGGGAAACCGCATTCAGCCTCGGGAGCCCTGGGCTCCCCCTCCTCTTCCCTCTGGCCATCCCCCCTCCCCAGGCTCCTCCACTGGTTCCAGCTGTGTTTTGCAGAACTCCCACTGGATAACATCTGTAATTGCCTCCAGATGTGGGCCACAAAAACACAAGGGGGCCATGAGCTCATCTTTGAGCTCCTTGCCACGTGCACAGGCCTCACCACCCTCAGACACCCCTGACTTTTCTGTGCCAGCTTCTCAGGGCTCCCCATCTTCTCAGGTGGGGCCGGCAGGGAGGTGGTGTTCAACTCCACTGAGACATACAGGCTGTGCCAAACAGCTGTTGGCAGAAAAGGCACAGGAGGCCGGGTGTAGGGTCAGGGTTCCTGGCTGGCAGGAAGGTGGGGTACCCCTTCTGCCAAAGCAATCACACCAAGCAGCCCTGAATAGCAGCTGGATAGGACTGGCCTAGGTGGGGCCAGGGCTCTTGGAGGCAGGCTGTGGAGGGGGCCTGGGCTGAAGCCCAGGGTGGGCTGGGCTGAGGCAGGAAGGGAAAGGGGTGGAGAGTGGGGGAGGGCTGTTCCCCTCCAGCTAAGCTGACTCAGCAACTGAGCTATTCCTCCCTCAGGCTGGTTTTGGAGGAAGGGCGGGTCAGCGGCCTGGGAACCCTGTCTGGGCGGCAGTTTCTACGGAAAGAGGAAACAAAGCCTTGCTACTCTGTTCTGCCCTTCCAACCTGACCATCCAGCCACCCCTGGGCAGTTGGGGTAGGATCCCTGTTTAGCCAGGGATAGGCTGCTCATAATTGGCCATGAAGCAACCTCTTTTCCCCTGTTTTGTTACCTCTGCCCCAGGAGCTGAGCCCCAGGCCTGGAAGAGCCTTAGATCTTGAGGGCTGGGGTAGAAGGCTTGCCACAGAGCCTGGGGCTGAATATCATCCTGGGAATCCCCAGCAGGAGGCAGAGGCTTGAGGAAACAGGGTCTGTGGCCAGATCACAGGACAGGCTAGTGCTCTTTAGGAAGATTTTCCAAGTGGCCTCAGCTTCATCACTTCCTCTCGCCTTTGTAGCCCTGGGCCTCAGAGGTAGCTCCTTAGGCCAGGTTGGGAGAACGGCTGGGCCCTGCGGACGGCCCCCACTGCCCTCATGGAGTATGCGTTCCTCTCCAACTCTGGCCCCTGAATCCCTTTATCCATCAAGAGTAAACAGTTTTCTTTATGAAAAATCCAAATGCCCCCCTCTTGGAAAGCATTGCTCATGAGCACGCTCTCGCCTTTCCATTCCCCTCACAGCCACAGCCCATTCACCCTATGAGAGGACCACAGCCACACAAGGAATGTGAAACATCATTTATTCTTTGTGGAAAGGTTGAACAAGGTCAAAAATGTCCTTAGAGGGCACTGACCCAGCCCCGCCCTGCAGGTTCCTGGGGTCGGATGCCTCTGCCCCCCACCCCCACCCCTCCCCATGCCCCTTGTTAACAAAAAGGAACAATTTGAAAGGAATTCATATATAATAATTATAATAAAAATATACATTAAACAAAACAAAAAACCCAAACAAGACAAACTTAGCCGAACTACCAGCACCGTTCACCCCATTTCCCCCCACCCCCCCATGCCCCCACCCCTGACATCCCTCTCCTTTCACTCCCTGAAAGGTCTCTCACTCTCCCAAGTCCCCGGTACCATGACCACCTTCGGTGGGGTGGCCGAAGGAGACTTCAAATGGGTGGGCTGGGTGGGGGTGAGGGGCACAGGACACCGATAGGATAGGCTGAGGGGTAGGGGCATCAGGAAGTGAGGGGGTAACCTGACAAAGAAATAAGAAATGTACAGGCACCTGCCCCTCCCTGAGGCTGGCTGAGGCAAACTGACTCAGGGCTGCCTGCTGTGGGGAGCCTCCTGCTCCCTAAGTAGGTGGGTGGCTACTCTCACGAAGGGCCAAGTCCCCAGTCCCTGCTCCTTTCTCTGGGCTCCTCACTCTTCCCCTCTGCGCCGTCTGGTCAGAGGGAAGGCACCAGGAGGAGCAGGCCCTTCCTGAGAGCTCCAGTAAAATATACCTTCCCCTGGGTGCCACGGCCCACCCTGTTGGGCATCCTTGCTGGCCTGGCCTGCTTGGTCCCCAGCCGTCCACTCCTGCTGCACCTTTTGGTCCCATCCTGTCCCCCTGACTGCCCTGCCCCTTGCGCTTGCCCCAGCTGCCTGCACTTGAGCCTTGAGGCTCATCCCCAGGGCCCCTGACCAAATCTCTCCCCACGGCCCCACCCTGGTAGCTGCACCCCCTGGTTTCAGCTCTTCCAACCGTGACATCTCCATCCAAGGCTAACGTTTAGGGGAGTAGGGCTGTCAAGGGTTTCTGCAGCCTCAGTTTACTCCTTAATGGCTCAGGCTCCTTCTGTGAAGTTCTCAGGGGCCACTAGTGGGTGGGGAGAGGCAGATCTTTGTGGTGAGGACTGGCCCTCTCTGAGCTTTCCTTTCAAGATCTTAAGATGGCTATGCAGCTCCCACGCCCTCACACTCTCTCAGGGTCTTCCTTCATAAAAGGTTAGATTCCTTTTAGCTAAAAAGAGTGGTGGGAGGCTGCCAACTGGGTATACCTGGGGGCTTGCTGGAGCTGGAGTGCCCAGAGCCTCCTGAGGTCAGAGTTCAGAGGTTAAAGGTATGTCAGGGAATGGAAAGGAGCAGATGACCCCATTTGACCTTTACCAGTGAGGTCTGAGGGTCCTGCCTTCAAGTGCAGAGCCAAGACATTCAGATGAGGCTGGACATACACCAAGGTAGAGGGGCCCCTGAGGGGCAGGGACTAGAAGGGGCAGCCCCTGTTCAGCCCCCAAGGGACCCATCTGGGGAAGAGAGCAATGCCAGGGATGAGGGTAGGAGGGGCCAGTCGCAAGGCAGAGAAGGGAGGTGGGGGTGAGGAGGGAGCTTGGAACGGGTGGGAGCAGCCCACCCACCACCATCTGCTGCCACTGGCCTTCAGAGGCAAAGTCCACATGGTAGGAGTGGGCGGGCAGTGGTGGGGGTCAGACCTTGTCCAGCAGGGACCGCTGGCAATAGAGCAGTCGCTTGGGGGTCCCGTGGCGTCTGAAGAAGAAGACTGCGAGGCCCACTGCCAGCACCAGGAGCAGCAGCAGCACGGGCAGCACCACGGCGGCCGCGCTCACTGCCCCGCTGCCTTCCTCGTCCACCTCGATGATGATCACCTCCGTTTCCTCCTCAGTCCCCTCGTCTGGCCGGCCCCCCGAAGGGCAGCCCATCCAGTCCCGCAGGGCTGACTTCGGGTAGCCTGGCTCTACCTTCAGCTTCTGGTTGTTGAATTTCCAGTATCTGTTCCCCTTGTAGAAGTACGTGAAGACTGCACAGGTCAGCAAGAAGGTGGCAAAGAAGACAGAGGTGGAGCAGCATCCAGGAGACCACAGAGAATAGTGGAAGGAAAATCCATCAGTGCCCTCAGCTATAAACGGGGTGATTCTAGTACCAGGTTGGAGGAGTGGTGGGGACTAAAGGGTCTAACATGTGGAAAGCACTTAGCCCAGTGCCTGGCTCATAGTAAGGGCTCCACTGTTATTATCATCGTCATTATTTTCCCATAATACTCTCCACCTTCCCTCCTCCTCTCTCTTAACTGCTTGTACCAATCGATCCTCCCCACAGAGGCATTTCCCATGCCCCTCTCACCTTCATCACTGCCCATGAATGACCCTCTGGGAGACTCAGGAATTCCTTCCCAGACCTTGATATTTTGGGGGTAGTCGTTGTCCACTGCCCTGAGCTCCTCGTTAAAACGGTAGTACCTGGGGGAGAGGAGGGGAAGGGAAGTGGTTGGACACTGGGCACATTCTCAGAAGGTAGTGGGACCTGGTACTGATTCACCAGTGAGTTAAGAGTGGCTCTGGACAGGGGTTTTGAGTAATGAGGGCCTGTAGCTGAATGTGGCGGAAGGTGGGGGTGGGAGGGAGGGCCCAGGCTGTAAGAAGCCACCAGCAGCCCTTAATGACAGTGCCAGGCTGCCGGAGCGGAGGCATGGTGCTGGGGGCAGGAGGCATCAAATGACCAGGTCTGAAATGGTGACCCGGTCACATCCCACTCACTCAGCACCCCATGGAGGCTGCCTGTTGCTAGACAACAACAGAGGCTTAGCCAATTCCTTCTTCAGGAAATATCCCGGAGGTAAAATGGGTCTTTCTCCAGAAGAGAGGGAATCTGGTAGTGGTATCTGAGGAGACAGGCCTGGGGTCAAGGGGTTGAGATCTTACTTGTTTCCCCGGAAAAAGTAGGTTTTTCCATTGGGCATCCAGAAGAGAGCAGCGTCAATCCTGTCAGTAGGCAGTCCTCGGCCCAGCTCCTTAATGTGCTTGGGGTAGCCAGGCTCCAGGGAAGCTTCATCAAACACCCAGTGCTTATCTCCTGGGGAGGCAACAGAAGGGCAGGATCTAGGTCCCACTTGGGTTCTAGGGTCTATGGAGGAGTCAAGGGGAATCTGCTCGTCCAGGGAGACCCTCCCCACTCCCAAAGACTAAGGCCTGGTTACCTTTGAAGAAGACAAATTTGCCATCCTTCCTCTCGTAGGCAGTGTTGATGGATGGAGGCAGTCCCCGCCAGAACTGGCCGATGGGCATTGGGTATCCATCTATCACCTGGTTATTCCTCACCCGCCAGAACCAGCGCTCCTGGGAGGCAGCCGAGGTAGGAAGAATACATTACGTCTTGTCACTTAATTCTCCGGCTCAGCCCCCCAAAGCTCCCCACTGCCTCTGTTTTAGTTTTTAGTCCACCTGCTGCTGATTCCATCCTGCCTCCCAGTCACAGACCCTTCTGTCCCCCAAACCAGCCCACTTCTTCCTCTCACCTTGAAGACAAACATCTCCCCTCGAAGCACAGCCACGGTGTCAAAATTCCCATCACAGATGTTGGGCCCATAAGTGGGGTTTTTGGGCTTGTCAGGGACAGAGGGCCTGGAGGTGGTCCTGGGTGGAGGGGGCATCTTGGTAGGGACTGACTTACTCCCTGGGGCAGAGAACACAGGGGCACTTCAGATTTGGTAGAAGAGGGAGAGGAGAGGACAGACATGTGGGCAGACAACACCTTCGGAACGGGTGTAGGGAGTCTGAAGCAATCAGCTAAGAAGGGACAGAAAAGGTAGACTCAAAAGTGGGAGTGGATAGCGGCAGAGTTAGGACGGGGGATGTGGGGAGACTGTAGGGCATGGGAAAGAGGAAGAAATACGCAGGCCAGAGAGGCAACGACAAGGAGCAGAGAGAAAGCAGCAGATGTGGGCACAGATTACTTGCCATAAAGCTGCTGGATGCCCCTGCGGTCATCATCGGGCAGCACGAAGTTCTCTGTGTCCATCCACTGGTAAAACGGGGCCATGATGGCGGAGGGATCATTGGAGTGCTCGAGGCCCAGGGCATGGCCCAGCTCATGCACAGCCACCAGAAAGATGTCATTGCCTGGTGGGATGGGGAAGGTTATGGCGGCAGCCTGGGTCCCTTCCCACAGACGCCTAGCTTTCCCATCAGAGGCTTCAGTTTCACACCCAACTCTGCCTGCCAGGTTTTAACTCAAAAAGCCACAAAGCTACCCAGCTCTTCTGGAAGAAGGTGAGAGTGCTCTGGGGCTGGATCCCAAGCCCAGGAGACCTGTGTTAAGGGAAGTTGAGACCCTATCTGGGTCTGTTTCTCCCAGGATGACATTTGTCTGGAGAAGTGGGTGACGTGGAAGTCTTTGACTGAGAAATCAATTATTGGGTGAGAGAAGAAACCACACGTAAGTAGTTCAAAACCGGATTCCTTCTTTAGTTGTAAGTCAGACCTGGAGATCTTGGCAGTCCCTTGTGGCCCTGAGATTTTGGGGTAAAGGTTTTGGGAGGAGAGAGGAGGATGCTGTACAAATGATCATTGACTCTCCCCAGAATGAGAGTCCCAGGGCTCACCATTCAGATCCTCATTATTGACAGTCCAGGGCTCGGCAGAGTCAAAATGGGTGTCCCCTCCGATGTTGGGACCTGGGAAGTAGGCGTGCGCAAGGAAGCCACCCTCGCCATCGAAGGGTGTGCTGTCACCATGGAAGCCATCAGCGAAGAAGATCATGATGTCGGCCTGCTTCTCATGGCCCTCGTGGATGTAGGTATAGGGTATCTCTCGGAAACGCAGCGGTGTGGCACTCTCCCACACGCGGAACGCCTTGCGGATGGCCTCATGTGTGGCATACTCGCCTACTTTGGGGGTGTAATTCTGGATGCTGAGGTCCAGCCACGTGGGGAGAGGATTACAGTATGTTAGGATGACAAGGGGCAAAATTCTCCTTCCCTGTACTCTCCCAGGGCTGATTGAACTACTCAGCCAGCTTTGCCTGACCCAGCTCTTTTTGCTGTCTCACGATGCCTCTGCCCCAAGCACTGAGAGCTCAGGGGACCTTCAGGCTTTGTCTTTCTGGCCCTGGGGTGTATGTACCCTTCCCCCTTACAGGCTGCACCTCTCTCCAGGGTTACGGCTATTCTCCTCCCCACTCCCAAGGATGCATCCTAGGCAGAGGTGAGTATTGCAAGATGGCTCTGAGTCCCTGTAAGCACAACTGATCGAGAAGGGCAACCCAATGGGAGAAAGGCCACTTGCCTGTGGGACTCACCAGAAAGTAATCTCGTTATGCTGCCATTTGGAGCCCTGGATGGCATAGCGCTTCCTTCGAACATTGGCCTTGATCTCGGCTCCAAACTTGTCTGGAACACCACAGCGGGGGCGCTTCATGGCCCTGAGGTAGGTTGGAGTGTGAATACTGGGATCAGTATAGCGTAAGAAAGATGAAGGTCCTCAGAGGTCAGGGGGAATGTCTGGCCCCAGGGCCAGTGTGGGCAAGGTCAGGGTGAATAAAAAGAGGGTCAGGATCAGCATGTGGGGATGAGGTAAGGGCAGGAGTCGGGCATTCAGGTAGCAACTTCTAAGGTGCTGGGTGTGTGAGTGGGTGCTGGGCAGAATTCCTGCCGGGTTCTAGCACTTACTTCATGGTGTCTGCATCAACCTTGCCTGTCACTCGTAGACCATAGAACCTCTGCATGGCAGCGATGGCAGCTGAGAGTGACTGAGGCATGCGCTGTGTGTGGGTACGCAGGTCCCCAGGGGGCAGGTAGCCATACTGCTGCAGCCAGGCCTGTAGGGAAAGGTACGTGGCTTACAGCATCCCCACCTGGCCCAAGGGAAGCCTCCGCCTCCTCATGGCACCTGGCACGAACCCTCCACTTGATGAGGAAAGGGCAATGAGCTTTCAACCTGGCTCTGGCAGCGGGTCTGGAGGCACTCCAAGGCTGGAGGCTAGACCTGAACTCTGGCCCAGGCCCCCGTATGGCTTGTCCTCTCGGAGCTGTGGGCCCCAGCTCTGGACTTTGGCTGTAGCTGTCTTCAGGATGGGACCCCTGGCCGTTTAACCGAGTTCTCAGATGTCTTCTCCGGGTGGAAGGGGAAGAGGCTGAAGGGCTCTACTCTTGGGCCTGGCATGAGGCCCTCATGGCTGAAATTTTTTAGAAAGGAGGGCAGAAAAGGAGCTGGGGCTGATGCTGGCTGCTGATAGGGGAAGCTGGGGCCTCTGCAGGTGGTGAGAGGTGCGATGCAGCCTGAGCCAGGATCCCTCCACTGCTTCTATCCAAGCAGCATCTGACCCAAGGCTTGGGACCTAAGCCATCCATTTAAGGATTTCAGTAGAGGGAGTGGGAGAAGGGGTGAGATGGAGACTTGGTGACTGTAATTTATTTTATTTCAGGCATGCTGTGAATTGTTCATAATATAAAGGCTGGCACATTGCCTTAAAGTAAAGTTAGGTCTTTGGTGTTTGATTGAAAGGTACACACACTGAAAAACCTTGCTGAGGAAAAAGTTAGCCTTTATTGTAAGAACAATGGAATATTTTCCTAAAGCCTGAAAAAATAAAATGAGCCAAGTCATATATGGGATATGAAAATACTTGGATTCTCCTATGGGGAGATACTACCCGGACAGCTGGTACCTGCTCCAGCACTGCCTCCTTAAGCAGTCCGGGGTGGGAGTGCTGCCCGACGCCTGGGAGGAGAGCCTGGGGTACAGAGGGGTTGAGGCTTCTGTTGGGTGCTGCACCTTCCACCCCAGGTTATTAGGATAAATTTCCATCTGGCCCTTTTCCTCTGAGCTCATGCCCTGGTGGTGGAACAGTGCTCTAGCACAGGGGCTAGAGGTGATTCAGGAGCAGCTGACTGGGGACCTGAGCCTGCAGGGGCAAGAATTGCAACATGGTCTTGGGAAGTAATCTCCCAAGGAAGAGGGAGGTAGGGCCTGAGATGTAAACAACCCAGCCTTTCCCCAGCCAACAGGCCTGGCCCAGTAACCCTAGCACCACCCTACTCTGAGAGCCCTTTCTCAAGGGTAGAAGAGAGAGTGAAGTTTAACCTCTGGTATCCCACAGCGGAGCAGAGCAGGGTGCTTCAGGCCTGGGCTGCTCGCCCCAACAGCTGTATGCTTGCCCTGACCTGCACTGGCTGATGCCTCAGCTAGTGCCTTCAGGAAGCCTGCTGTGGCCTATGCCTACCTGTGCAGGAAACTCCCTTTGCCCGTAGTCTCGCCTGTAGGGGAGGCACATTCCAGGCTTATGACCCCTGGTAGGAGTTCAGCTTTGAGGAATGATTAGAGTGGCCTATGCAGAGCTGGAAGTCAGGATGACTGAGGTAAGTTCCCCTCAACCCTCAGGGAGTGAAACTAAGGGGAATCCTAGGGCTCGAAAACGGAAGGGAGGGTGGCAGAGAGGTGAGGAAAATCTATAGCCAGTAACTCTGGGATAAACCCCTCTCCCTGATGAGTCTTTCAGGACGGTAGGCAGGTGTAAATATTCACACCCACAACCTCCATCCCATGCCCAACAGGTAAAAGTGGAGACTTAGTCAAAAGAGGGACTTCCTGGGGTCGAGAGAACCAAAAGTCCTGGAAAGGAGGTGCCCCTGTCCCACTCTTCCCAGGCCTAGGCTTTCTTCCCTCACAGGGGCAGACTCTGAGCAAAGCAAGAACCGCAGAGACTATGAGGTCGGAACCACAGAAGAGAGGACTCTTGTGTCTGCGGCTGGGTGGGGGAAGGGCTGAGTGCCAGGCAGGCCAAGGGGAGACGAGGGCTGTCCTGAAGATGGTGCAGGACTACGGAGGCCTGGTGGGAGGAATCCGGGTGCCCAAGGCCTGGGCCACCCCAGCTCTTCCTCCACACTGGCCTGGAGAGGGAGCAATATGTTGGGTCAAAGACCTAGATTGGCTTTGTCTTGAAAACTGGGTGGTGCAAGATATTCTCCAGGGCAGTGATTTTCAACCCTTTTCATCTCATGGCACACATAAACTAATTTCTAAAATTCTTTGGCACACCAAAAAATATATTTTTGGCCAATCTGACAAAAAAAATTGGAATAACTTTGATTAATTCACACTGGATAGCTATTGTTGTGTTGCTGGTTGTTATTTTTTTTGACAATCTAAGGAAAAAGAGGTCAGTACCTCTGACTAGTCAGGTATTGCATGTTTTAAAAATTCTTGTGGCACACCAGTTGAAAACCTCTGCCCCATGGTAAAGTCAAGGGAACTGGTCCCACCTCTAGCCAAGACCAGGGTCGGGGGGACTCTGGCTCTCCAGCAGGCCCTATATAGGAAACTTTGGGCCTGCTCCTCCCTCTGTTTGCCTCCCACCCGTCCATGGCCCAGATGCAAATGGTGGTTCTGGCACTGGGACTGCCCACGACCCACTTGAAGCAGAGACAGGGCTACTGCCCCTCCCTTTGGGGGCCTAATGGGGCAGGAGAAGGAGGGAGTCAGGGCAGGCGATGTTGGCAGTGGGCTGCCCCCCAGATGCCCAGGCTCCTTTTGTTGGGAGCTCTCGTTTCAGGCCTGGAAAGAGGATGTCTCCTCTGCCTGACTAGTGCCAGGATTAGCCACAGGGCAGATTTTCACACTTCCTGGTCACCCCCATCCTAGGACCACCCTTCTCCTTTCAGTCTCAGATCCCTTCAGGACTGAGAGAGTGTGTTCTTTATGGAGATGTTTCCTCTGGGGTGGGACCAGGGCGCCGAAGGGGTTGGAGGAAGCCAAGTACAGATCCCCTCCCCCTTCTAGGGCTCTTCCCAGCCCCTCCAGACCGCACCCTAGCACCCAGGCCCTCTCGGGGCTGAGTGGGTTGGGATGTCCCAAAATAAGAAGCTGATCAAATCCGTCTCCCACCTTCACCCCAAAATAAAAGAGAGAGAGGAAAAACCTCTTCAGACAACTCCCACGCGACTTCCTCCCAGCCGGGTGGGCCAACGTCGGGGAATAGGTGGGGGGTGGGGGGCGCCAGAGTCAGTCAAGACCTGTGCGGGCGCCCTGGCTCAGGCCCTGTCCCCACTCCGCCGTGCGAAGCCCCAGTTTCCATGCAATTAACAGAGAAAAACAATTAACAACAAAAAGGGCCTAAAGGCGCCGACGGCGGAGGGGGTAGGGGAAGGAGGCGGTGGCCCAGCCGAGCCCCCGTTCACAAGGGGAGCTTTGTGTGTACGCAAAGGCGGCCAGGACGCCAGCGTTGCGACCCTCGACGCCTGGGCAAGGCTCCGGGGCCGCGATCCAGAGGGATCCTTTCGCGGGGACATGGGCCGGAGCCGCTCCGCCGTCCACCCGCGATCCCACCTGGGCGCGGATGCGCGGGTGGAGGGCCCGGCCAGCCGGCCGGCAGCGGCCGCAGCGTTGGGGGCCGGGGCCGCGGTCCTCCAGAGCCCTCCCTGGCAGCCCAGCGAGCGCGGGCGGGAGAGCGCGGGAGAGCTGGAAAGTTGAAGAAACAACAAACTCCAGCACATGACAAGAAACCAGGGCAGCGCGGGGTCTGAGCGCAGTCCAAATATTTATCAGGCTCCCAACTGGTTCCAGAGCTGAGCGCAGAGCCCTGGGGAATTGGGGAGGGTGGGGAGTGGGCCCGGCTGTAAAGTTCTTCCAAGGAAACGAGTGGGAAAGAAGGCTGTGACGGGGGGGTGGGGAGGGTGGAGGAGGCAAAAGTTGGATCGACTTGGAAGTTTGGAGATGAGGAGGGAAAGAAAAAGGAGGGGATCCTGCAGGCCGGAGCAACGGGGACCCCGAGAGCCCGCCTCTCTGAAGGAGACTGTCCCCTTGGAGACCCCCGGGCTCGCCTCCTCCGCGGCACGACTCCAGGCAGGGCCGGAGGAGCTCACTTACTTCGGGGCTGAAGCTGCTTTGGGCCGAGCTGAGGGAGGCGAGCGCGGTGGTGAGCGCGAGCAGAGGGAGCAGCAGACTGCGGGAGGGCCGTGGGGCGGGAGACATGGTCCGCGACCCTCCGGGTAGACCGTCCGTGCGGGCTCCGCGGCGGGCCCAAGCCCTGGGGTCGTGCCGCCACTCCCTCGGGCGCCTTTGTCTTCGGGAAGCACTGAATTTGGATTCCTAGAGCGCGGTCCGCTTGCAGATGAGGCAATTGTTCTTGAAAGCGCCTGTTTGCTCGTCCCCTCTTCTCCGTTTTTTGATCTTTCTTCTGCTTAGTCGGCGAACTGGATCTGGAGCCCGCTCTCGCTCTCTCCTCTGGTCCCTCCCTTCTCCCACAGCCTCTCCACAGCCTCTCCGCCCCCGCCTCCAATGCCCTCCTTCCCCTGTGCGGACGTGGTTGTTCAGCTTGAATCCAATTACAGCCAAGAGCCCGGTTAAAACACACACACACACACAGACACACACACACGCACACGCACGCACGCACACACGCACAAACCAACTTAAGTTGACTTGCTGTGGTGAAGGCTGCCATCTCCAGGGGCTGAGGCCATAGCTGAAAGCCCGGGGGGCGGGGGGGGGGATAGTGGGGGGACCCAGGGAACGGGATGTGGGAGACTTTCTCTCCCTAAGCATATTTTGGGTGGCTTGATTCCTTTGGTATTCAGCATCTGTCTCACTTCAGAGTGGGAAGTACTGGGAGGCTCAGTGGCTGCGGCAAACGAATTCAGAGTTTGGGATGGTGGTGGTGGTGTGGGGTCTTTCATGACGTGAGACCTGGCTTAGGGGACCATCTGTTGGGACCTGTGACTAAACCAAATTGAACTGTTGTCTCTTATTATTGACAACCACCTCTGTCCCTCTTGCAAAGGGTTGTGGGGGGGGGAGAACTACCCACCCATCAACAAACCCCACAACCACACTGAAGCTGGGGGGGGGGTCTCATCCTTGCAGAAAAACAAATGTTCTCCCTTTATTATGCCACTTGCAATCTGGCTGCTCCTTAAATTAGAACTGGCTGGGGAGGAAAGGACTGCAAGGCCATGGAATCTAGGAAAAGGCAAATCAAATTTGGTGCAATAGTTCGAAGACAGATTGGAAGCTGGGACTTTAGGGTTTAGTTCTCTACACTGGAAAAGGAAGCAATTACTTCAAGGGTAAAATCTCCTCCGGGGCTGACTGGTCTCTGAGAACAAAAGGTGGAGGAGATATGCAGGAGAGAGCAGGCTAAAACTGGCCTTGAGAAAAGGAGACAGATAAGAGGTTGAGAACCAGATCTGGAAAAGCCAAACAACAGAAGCAGGAAAAGTGTGGGAGACAGAAAACTCAACCATCAGTGAAATCTGAGACCCAAGAACTGCATTGGTCAGCGAGAGGGGAAGGAGGTATTGAGGGGAAGAAGGGAGAGAATAACACAAGGGAAGGAATCACAAGCTGGACAGAAATTAGGTCAGATAGGAAGCTCCTGAAACCCTAGAGATCCCAGAATTGGTAAGTTGTGGCATGAGAATGGCAAAAAAAAAAAAAAAAGGCCAGTGTTCTGTATTTAATAGGAGTAAAGGTCCTTTCCACACATAACCCATGAGAAGAGCCATGATCAAGAAAATGAAAGGTTTCCCTGGTTTTGGGTGGCAGCTAATGGGTTTGTGGGAGGTATACGGGGGATACCTATGGCACAGTGACTGGGGGTTGAGTACCTCCAGGGCTCCCTAAACAAACAGGGGTAAGGAGGGCAGCTTTCTCTCTCACCAACCTCTGGAATTCAATGAAAACCATGGAAACCTCAAGATCCAAATCTTTAGAACATGCAACACCCAAGTCTGGTTACTTCCCATGTCAGCCTTCCCAGTGGGGGTATCCTCTTGAGCCATGTATTTGGTTTAGAAGAACCGATACTAGTTGCTTGTGAAGAAACGGACCTCAGCTGTAAGGTCCTCTTCATCAAAACCTTTATTAAACGTGTAATTGCACACAGACTGAGCCATATATAGGCTTTTCAAGGCTTGAATGCCTGGCTAACATGAAGGAAACTGCTGCTTTTTCATGTTTGCAGAGCAGTAACTACTCAGTTGGGCCAGTCCTATGACCAGCAATGGAAGCGGTAAGTACCTCGAAGCAAGATTCCCCTTAAGTGGAAGGGAGCCGGGGGTGAGGACACTAAGCCAACCATTGTAGGCAGTGTTCTTATAGCCTGTTCTATGTGGTGTACAAGCTCTTTTGCTCTGAAGATGGATGGGGAATAAAAACGATGGCTGGGATGAGGCATGAAAATGACAGCAAGAAAGTCAAAGAGAGCCTGGGAAAGGGAGACAGTTGCTTTTTATTGACTTGGTAGTGAGCTCTGCAGAGCAGCCCCTTTAGGTTTAAGAGCACTTTTCCGCTTCCATTCTTCTTCCTGCAACTTCTCCTGCTGTCTGAGCTGCCATGCCTGTAACCCAGCATCCATTTCCTGTGACAGCAGTACAACTCGTCTCTGGAACAGACAGGAAAACAGTGTGGATAACATCTGGGGCTTGAGCTCTGCACCATATATCCTTTCACTCACAGATCAAAGTCAGAGGCTTCAGCTAGAAAATGACACTGCTGACTGGGGAAGGGGTGGGACCAGGTTCTGGGTGGGGCAGCAGGAGGAAGACAGTAAAATGTGTGGCAGAATGTCTACTACTGGTTCCTACCCTAGGAGTACCCAACACTATTCCTCCCTTCTCACGGTACTATTAAAACCTTAAAGTGAGGGGTACATATTAACTTAGGTGTCAGCACAGCTCAAGATGAATGATTTAAACTTTCTCCTTCATATTACAAGCAGGTTGCCCTGGCTGGGGCTCTAGCCACTCACTGCAAACTTCTCCCTTTGGGCTTTTCTTCGAAGCTGGCCTTTCATTGGTGGAGCAGGGCAGCCATCTGAAAATAGAAGTGAGAGAAGAGGCAAATGTTAGGCATGGCCTGTAGCACTTTGTGAAAGCACTGACAGGAATGAGGGAAGAACCAATTTCTTGCTGTTCTCTTCCGTTATACACCCGCTGTAAAATTCTCCTAAAATGTGTCCCTTACTTTTGAGGATGAAGTATGTCAGAACCACCATGAATAAGCTCCCAGGCATGTTCCTACTCTATTTCACTTACCCTTTATTAGCCTGGAATTCAAGATTCTTTGCAATGCTGAATCGCCTGTTTTATCTTCAGAAACACTCCACTCAAGCAAACTGATCACTGTTTTACCCGCCAGTGAGTCTTTGCTAAAGTCCATCTCATTCCATACTGAGAAAAACACCTCTTGCCTTTTCCTTCCGGCCAAATTCTCATCCTTCAGCCCACCTCAAGCCCAACCTATCCCAGAAACCCTTCTCCAACCTTTTCAACTCTCTTATGAAAGAAGTACCTATCAGTCACTTAATATTCCAATGTTTGCCTTGGGACATTTATTGTATTATTGTTTTTAACCTTATTCAGCCTTCTCAAGTCCTTTTGGAAACTAGAAGACCACTGGAGTATTATTTAATTTAAAAAAATGTCCATGCTTTGTTTTCCTAGCTAGACTTTAAGTTCCTTGTGATCAGGGACTGTATCACTCAGCTTTCACTGTAGTATAGGCACAAGTGCACAGAATAAAATTTTCATAAATATCTGCAGACTTGCTAAAAGGATGCAGTATCTCAAGTAGCTTATAATGGAGTTGAAAAGAAAGGGCATTTTCAACAAAGAAACAAATTGAGTGAAAATTCTGCCCAAAAGTTTGAAGGCAAGACAGGTAAGGAATGTTATTTATCCATCAAGGGAACCAATATTGTGTATGCCAGGTGTACATTGGTCATTTCATTTTATGCTTACAAGAACCATATAAGATGAGTATTCTTTTACAGATGTGGAAACTGAGGTACACAATTAAGTAACTTGTCCAAGACCCACTAAGTTAGCAAGTAGAGAAACCCGGATTAAGAATCAATTCCAGAATCTTTCCAATGTTCCATACTACTTCAAGGAGATCCTAGGCTTCCTGCAGAAAATAAGTAGAAAAAATCTGCACCATCTTCCTCAGACACCAAATACCCAATTAAGCAAGATCATAATCCTATAAAATCCAATAGGGTATTAACACTCAGGTCTCTGGGCTGTTTAAGGGGGCCTCTCCTCTGCCCAGCTCTAGTCCTGGCTTTGCTATTATTAAGCAGTGGATGACCACGGGCAATTCACTTTTGTAGGCCTCAATTTTCTCACCTGCAAACTGGAGTCCCATAGGGGGAATGGGGAGTGGCTTCAACTTTTCTAAGGTCCCTCCCTCCTAGAGCTAATATTTCATTTGTTTGTTTTAAAGTAAAGGGAAGAGACTTTTCCAAAGGGCGGTCACCATCCTCAATCTTGTTTCCTACTCTTTTTTTTGAGATGCTTATTTCAAGGAGTTCTCCCTGCATTTGGTACCAAATTCTCTATAATGCACTTACCACAAAGATGGTCGGTTCTCCCTAACTTTCTAAGAACAGAAAACAGAGCCTTTTCACTCCCTTCCCGAGGGGCGCCCCAAGTCACAACTGTCTTCCGCTTATCTGCACATGCCAAAAAGATGCTGTCTAGCTTAATTTTCCATAGGAGTACTTTAATTTACAAAATAAATAGGGTTTCTTCACCCTGTAGAGTTCAATAGGTTGTTCCATCACACTCCCACCTTGACGCCATCCCCCACCCCGCTCCTTCCAGGGGCGTTCTCTCTGAGTGAAATTCTCCAAAGTAGGGTTAATTGTCAGGTCAGCGCTCACCGGCGTAAGACCAGTCTGGGAGCTCCGTAAGGGGACCGTAGTCGGAGGGGTTGGCAGCCAGGCCCTGCCTGGGTGGAGAAAAACAGTCGCGTTAGGACTCAGCACAGGTTCTGGACGCCCCCCCCTGCCCCTCGCCCGCTTCACCGAAACCGGCACTCACTGGAGTCTCCACTGGCTGCCCGCCCGAGCCGCCGCGCTGCAGTGCAGCCTCCGGATACCTGCTGGGAAAACAAGACAGAGTCGGGAGAGAGGCCGTGCTGCCCGTTCACAGGTCCCAGGCCTGCCCCCTCGGACTCCCGAGCCCATGGACCCTACATCCACTTACTGGACAGCAGAGTACCTAGAGCAGCCATGCTGAAATTGAAGAGACGGAAGTGGGCGTGGCCTCAGTGGCCACGCGCGACGCTTCAGGGGAACCCGGAGGCCGCCATCTTGAATTCTTTTCAATCACGGGGCCCGCCATCTTGGGTCACTGTACGGAAGAGAAGGACAAAACGGCGGCCTGGGATTTGGACTAGAACTCTATTTCATCCTCTGCATCCTCAGTGGTGGTTACATCCTCAGTGGAAGTGTCCTCCCAGACTGAACCGTTCTGAACTGTTTCTGCTAGTTTCCTGAAGCAGTCTCTAGTCCTTTGAAATTTATCTTTTATCTCAGCGAAGTAACATACGTCACCTCATTCTACCTTCTCCCTCATTACTGTAACATTTTTCCCAGCCTAAGAGTCAAACCTAAAGAATCAAAAAGTTTGGATTTCAGTTCTCACTCATTTATCCAACAAAATGGAAGCGCTTTGTGACGAGCACTGTATTAAGCCTAGGAGATTCTGTGGGGAGCAAGACGAACATCATTATTCTGACAGAGCTCCAGTCTAGGGATGCAAGACAATAAACAAATAATCACACATTACTGTAATATTACAGCTAAGTGCTAGAAAGGGAAGTATGTGATGCTTGTGAGCATATAACAAAACTTGATCTAGAGTAGGCTGGCAAGGCTTTCTAGAGGAAGTACCAGAGGTAAGATCTGATTACATTTTTATAAGTTACCACCATCCATTGTCTATTATACTCTTTATAAGCAACACCCTTGTGAGGTAAGTACTAGTAAGTGGCAAATCCATATCTGTGACTCCTTCCTCTTTTTTAATCACTTACTTGCCTTGAATAAGTCATTTATCTTTAATTTCTTCATTAAAAAAAGCTTAATAGCCCTGGATGGTGTGGCTCAGTGGACTGAGTGCCAGCCTGCAAACTGAAAGATCCCTGGTACTATTCCCAACTAGAGCACGTGCTTGCGGGTTTGCAGGCCAGGTCCCTGATTGCGGGTGGGTGGGAAGCAACTGACAGTGTTTCTCTCCTTCTCTTTCTCCCTCCCCTTCCCCTCTCTCTAAAACTAAATAATATTTTTTTTTTTAAAAAAGCTTCATATATCACATTTATGCAAACATTTTAGGGATGATAATGTAAGTGAAAGTGCTTACAAATGGTGAAGCTCCTGCAAAAGTGCCGATTACTGTGTGCTAGGCTAGACACTTAAACACGTGCTGACTGAGGGAAACTGAGGGAATGGTACAATGGCCTATCTGAAGTTTACCATTTCCTTCTGCAAGACTGGGAAGTTTCTCCATAGGAGGTGCCTCTGAGCTGTGCTTTGAAAGAGGGGAAGGGTGGATCCTAGTTTAAGAAGTAAAAGAAACCATTTTGATAACAATAAGAATAGTAGAGGCTAGGACTGAACCAGAAGAAGGAATGGGAGCAAAAGAAACTTGGTTGGTAGTGGGGGAGGGGGTGTGGTTAGTCGGGCAGAGGGATCGAGGAAAAAGGACTCCTGTATATGGACAACAATGTGGTGATTGCAGTGGGGAGGGGAGAATGAGAGGGTTAAATGGTAATGGAAGTAATACAATAAAAAAATTTTTTTTAAAAAGAAGAAACATAGCTATAAATGAACAAATGGACCCCAAAAACTAAGCGAAGGAAATAAGACAATAGAGTACCATTATCATCTTAAATCCATATGCTTCATTTTCGATTACCAGAAATACTTCTATATAAATGATTTTATACAATTTTCATAATAAACCTGTAAAAGAGATAAGACAGTCCAGGAGGCAGTCATTGTAAAGATTGCTTGTAGTTTTCAGAGATCAGGAAATGGAACCAAAATGTGGCTGTGGATTTATTGTTTTACTGTTGCAGTAAGCACTGAGTGACAGCTTTCTCAGGCTGGGCTCCAAGTACCTTTTGCTGGTTCTGAGATAGACAGTTGAGGCAGATAGCACCGGAATCCCATTACATAGTTTACAGTTGAGGAGTCAAGTAATAGTAGAAGCCAAGGGTTGGAAAAATAATCTGTGTCAATATTCAAGATTGGCAGGAATGATGATACAACCACCATTGCTATATCTTTTAATTTATTTTATTTTATTTTTAAAAAAGATTTTATTTATTTATTTTTAGACAGAGGAAAAGGGAGAGAAACATCAATGTGTGGTTGCCTCTCGCGCGCCCCCTTCTGGGAAACTGGCCCACAACCTAGGCATGTGCCCTGATTGGGAATGGAGCCAGCAACCCTTTGGTTCGCAGGCCTGTGCTCAGTCTACTGAGCCACATCAGCCAGGGTTCTTTTTATTTTTATTTTTAAAGATTTTATTTAGTTTTAGAGAGAGGGGAAGGGAGGGAAAAAGAGAGGGAGAGAAACATCAATCAGTTGCCTCTTGCACCACCCAACTGGGTACAGGGAACCTGGCCTGCAACGCAGGGATGTGCCCCAACCTACCTGGATTTGAACTGGTGGTGACCTTTTGGTTTGTGGGACAACTCCCAGCCCACTGAGCCACACCAGTGAGGGCCCAATGCTACATCTTTATAGTGCTTATAGAACTGAACCAGCCACGTTCCTTTATTTTAGTAGTAACACAGAAGGGGACATCACTGATTTGCAAAATCATAAAAAAGGGAACATGTACCCTGGCTGGTGTGGCTCAGTGGATTGAGTGCAGGCCTGTGAAGTGAAAGGTTGCTGGTTCGATTCCTTGTAAGGGCACATGCTTGGGTTGTAGGCTGGGTCCTTGGCTGAGGGAGTGCAAGAGCCAACCCATCCATGTAACTCTTGCACATTGCTGTTTCTCTCCCTCTCTCCCTCCCTTTTCCTCTCTCTAAAAGTTAAAAAAAGGAACATGCATTAGGGTACACAAATGGTGTGGACAATATGAACTCTACGTGCTGAAGTGAACAATACATGTAATAATTTAATAGCTGTGGGAGTAAAGGAGCTAGAGCTGGAGAACTTTTGGGGCAGGATGGGAAGTTTGACCAGGAAAACTGGGAAACCTGAGGGGGGGAAGGTCTTGGGAAAGAAGACAAGTTCAGCCTTTGATGTGGTTATTCTGATGTGGCAGGGGGACAATCCATGGGCTGTAAATAGCAGGAAATATGGGTTAGGATTTTGAGAGAGAGACAGAGAACACTAGTGCAGACAGCCAACATCATCCGCATTCTCAGGGACCTCATGGAGCACATGCAAGGGAGGGATTTGGCACTTTGAAAGCTCTCCTCAGTGACTTCACTAAACTCATAAGCCACAGGAAAGTGGTTGCAGCATCCCAAAGTAGATGTCTTTCTACCTCTGGAAGTTCATCTGGCAAAAGCTGGAGTTAAGAACAATGGGAAACATCAGCACTCTGAGCTTCATGTCTGTCTCTGCTTTCTTTAACACTTTTGCCCCTCAAGGGCATCATGGCCTATATTGGGCTATAACATTTTGTTATCCACTTTTTTTTTTTTCCAACATGTTTATTTAAATATCTCTCTGTCCAGTCTGTATATAGTAACTTTTGTACAACTGTTTTTGCTCTGGGAAAATAGGTGCTTTTTTAACTGTTGGGATGATTAACGATGATGCTGGAGAAAGAGCGTAAGTGAAGCTGACTCTGTGTTGCCAGTGCTACGTCATTTTGCTTCCTCTTCCCCTTTTGGTGTACTTGTGACCAAATTCTAAGGTTTGGGAAGTGCCTTATTTCATGTTCCTTCATTACCTTCCTTCTTAGAACAGCTAAAGATCAAATCAAATCACTGTCACACTCAGCAAGAAGTATGGAAACTGATGGCTATAACCAGACACTCACACAATACATTGCTTTGTGTATTACTTTATTATCTATGTAATTTATTGTAACATATTCTTTTTCTTGTCCCATGGCTGTCAAATCCATGTTAAATCAGTATGACCTTGGGCTACACCATTTTTTCTTGCCCAACAACTTTGAAATCTCTTAAGCTGTGGCTTTCCACCAGACTGGTCTTGAAGGTGGGGTGGCTCTCTGTGGCTCTCTGCAGATTGGTAACATTGGCTTTATAAAAATGCCAAAGCGAGACTGTCCAAAAGGTTCACAAAAGGAACTGTATTATTTACAAGTTATCTTGTAACCTTAAAACATGGTGTAACATTTCCAGATCCGCTTTTTTTGAACAAGCCCAGAAAATCCCTATATTGTTGGGTTGACGCTGCCTCGAAGACTTCAGGTGAAGGGCGCTTCGGTGACTCCAGCCTCTCAGGCACCCTCAGCCAGGACATTTTTTGTTAAGTGCTGCCTCCTGGCGGCAGCTCCACTGCCCGACACCTTTCGGGCCTACTGGAGACCACTTTTTCTTAATTTGGGATCTCGAAGCTGATGCAACAGCTCCCCGAGGGGGCGGGGAGTTGGAAACCTCGGCGGAGGCGACGCCCTTCCGGGAGACCCTTTACCCGTCTCCAAGCGGGCGCGGCTCCCTCTGCCTTCCCCCACCGGGCTTTGCAGCCCAGAGCCCCTCCGAATTTCAGCGGAGCGTCTCGAGGCTGGAGACGGTCCGCCAGCTCGAGCTGGATTGGGAGGGAAGGGAGAGGAAGCTGAGCATTCCTGGGGTGGAGGACGCGTCGAAGGGTATCTGCAGTCATTTTCACTCCCAGGGCCAGCGCAGCTCTGCCTGAGCCAGGAGAAGGCAGAGGAGCGGGCTGCGAGGTCTCTTGGTTCTTGGCCCTTGGCACCTTTTGCCTACACCCACAATTCCCTTTTAGCGCTTTCTGGAGCCCGCGAGGGGCGAGAGCTTCCTGGCCAAGTGGAGGGACCTGAAGCGGCGCCGGGTGGAGGGGGGTCCTGGTCCTCCAAGGCACAGCCCGGTTCGGCCCCCGAAGCCAGACCTGGACGACAACAAGGACGACCGAACTCTTGGGATGGGCTTTGAGGGCGGGCAGAGGCAGATTCAGGGTCTGGGGAGGCGAGATCATAGGGCCTCAGACATGGAACCGGGCGGCGAAAAAGAGGGAACTAAGACAAGGCGGGAGCGACGTGAGACCCCGGGCCCGGGAAAGTGAGAGAGAGGGGCAAAGGTGAAAAGCGGCGAGCCGGCCGCGCGGGGGCGG